GTGAAAACAGATTTGAAAATGAAATCGTACGTGAAACCTGTAAGGTAGATTATTACTTCAGGACAAAAAGTTAGAAGATTAGAGGGGGCGAATATCATCTTGACTAAGTTGGAAAATGATCCTTAAAGAGTATGTATTTATATATTTAAAGTATATTTCAATCCTTCATGAGCTTCCGATCCTTAGCTATTATTAATTAATGATGAACATGTCATTTTTGTTTATGTTCGATTTCATCACGATTGCTCTGCTAAGCATGGAATGTATTTATACATTTTTATTGTTCAAACTAGGGTCCAATAGGGTTATAAAAACCTCGGAGAATTCCAGTAAGATATCTTTAATCATTTCTAAGATACAACGTTTCAAAGCTTGATCTAACAAATGGACAATTTTGCTTTTACACGATTTGGACAATTTTGCTCTTGCAGGAGGTATATGATTTTATTGAGAAAGAGATGAAACTTCTGGTACTCATAATGGGGAAGAAGTCTTTAGAAAATATGACATTCACAGGATATATTAAAGACAAGAGGGACAGTGAAAAACAGTGACTGACTCGCCTGACGGGCCCGGGTAAATGGAAAATAGAAAAAAAAACTAGGATGGGTAGCTAATGGACATTGATTAGAACTAAAAAGGATAGGAAATGGGAGAGAGGCATGATCGCCTACATCCTGAATAGAAACATCTGTTAATTGAACAGATTATTGGTATTTAATGAATCTGAATATAGTTATCCAAAAAAATTATGATTCTTGTTTCGAAATAATGACGATTGTAACGTCATCATCTTGTGAGTATATATCTCTTATATAAATTATTCACTTTAAGTAGGAGACAGACATAAGAAAAATATAAGTGTTTGCCATTTTGTTTTTTTCTTTTTTTTTTTTTGAAAAAAGTGACACCGTCAAAATATCTTAAAAAAAAACAAGAATTTTAATGACTTGATGGAATTCCGGTAGTTACAAGTATTTCATTTTACAAAAGAAATCCTAATTAGATGCTGATTGGATGAGATGCAAGATAAAAATGGAAAAAGAGTGAAAAAGAGAATTTTATGAAGACGAGAAGGAGAGTTAACGACTGACCATTGATTCGAAGCGGTTCGACTGTAGTGTTCAGGGTTGCAACTGCGTAGGAGTTCGTTCCACAAGGTATCAATTAATAAGTGGAATTCCTCCTTAGTTCGAATACGGCGGAAATGTGGGTGGTGCTTCTCCAAGGGATGATCATGGTGTGTCTTGACTGCAAGGGTCTCATGTACTGGAATTAAAGAATTGGGCTCATTTGAACATTTATTTTTAAATTATTAGGTTGGTGCAAAAATAATGACGTAATAATGTCGTTTTTTGACGTACTTTTCTACGTCTAAAAACGACATTCTTACGTCATTATTTTTGCACCAACCTAATATTTCACCCCAAGCAATGCAACCAAGACACAAGGTGGTAATGAGTGTTACAGAAAGTGAAAAATTACCACTAAAGAGAGAGATTAATAAAAGAATTAAGAAGACACAAAATAAGGATTGGCATTGCATTTAAAATTCTTGAAGGCCAAGACTGGGAAGCAAGAAGGCCTTGACTGGGATGAAAGAAGTCAGATAGTTTCAAAAACGAAAAATACAATAGAAAAAAAGTTTACGGATATATCTAGCGATTTCATCTGCGAAATGATGAGACGTTGGCGTCAATCTAGTATTCTCGTCAAATCCATAAATCTAAATCAAAATCGATGCCTTTCTTAACATGTCAATGTAACTAGCTGTTTGGCAATCTTTTACCTCCTGTAACACAAGAGTTCCATTGAACGAAAATGAAACCCAGACCTTAATTCATCCACATAATTCATGCGTTGTGTTGAGAAAATTTTGGGGGGGGGGGTCATCTCTTGCATGACAGAAAAGCTGAAAACCGTCTGGGCCATCAAGATTGAATTCTTTCTCGTCTGAAAACAACACTTTTTTCTATTTATCACCATCCCAAGTTTGATAATCGGAAGCAAATTGTAAATGGAGGTTTTATGGCGAAGAAGAAGGCGAGGCCTCTGCAGCCGTTTCAAGTTCTTAAACCCTTTCTTATTTAAATGCCGTTGAATTGTTCGAGAGCTGCATTCAGCATATGTATTCGCTTTTATCTGATTTGATGTTAGGCTTGAATCTCTGTAAGGCGCCTGTCTAGAGAAGGTGATTATTTATTGGGGCGACCGCTTCATTTTTTAGAAGCATACGTGTCCGGAATTTTGATGAAGTTAGCAATGACAGTTCTGCTACGGCCAATTTCATTTGCAATGGCTCGTTGCGAAAGACCACGTCTTTGAAGTTTAACAATCCTGAAAAGAAAACGTTTAAATTCATAACCTATTATTTCAAATGTATAATGCATGAATTAATTCCAAACTGAAATAATGTAAAAGACAAAAATATTATTCACATTTGAAGGAAAAAAAACATTGAATTCAAAAGTCTATAACCCATTGTAAAAACCTATTTTCTTCAGAAACCATATTTGTAATACCTACTTAGGACGTAGTTAGTTATATATACTCCATATAAGCGCATACAAAAAATACATAATATATATATATTTATATATACATATATATATATATATATATATATATATATATATATATATATATATATATATATATATATATACATATATATATATATATATATATATATATATATATATGGATGCGCGGGACGATGAATTGTTACATCAGTAATCTGACAAGTAATTACGAACTCAGCTCTATTTCTATGAAATATTTATTGTATATTTTTGCAGCTATGTACATCGATACTGATGAAAATAATATTATTTAGGCAAAATAAATGTTTTCGTCTCATTGGATTATTGATATATATATATATATATATATATATATATATATATATATATGTTATAATTATTTTTTTGAAAATATGATTCCTTCGCTATATAAGAGTTCTCATGTTTCAATAACGAGACCCGAAAACCTCAATATAATTATTAAAATTAAATTGATTTAAAGTTTCAAGCCCTGTTTCATCCTCAAGCGAAAATTTAGGAATAACCAATCTTGAAATTTACGCATCTTTATGATAATGTTCATTCGTAAACTTAGTTACTATGGAAACCAGTGAGGCGACCATTTTGGTAAGGGGTCTAAGAGATAATTTTTATCCCCATATCAGTCACCTTTGGAAAAAGGTCAAGCTGAGGGTGGGGGGGGGCATCCATTTCAAAGCGAAAGATGGCATTCATGTGCGTACATCGTCTGCTCAGTCAAATCGAAAGATTACTTTTGGCACCATATGTCGTTAACAGAATTTTGTTTTATTTTATTTATTTATCCTTTTATTTATTTATTTTTTCCTAAAGTGCTGTTTCGTACTTAAACTCTTCGCACTGAACTATAGAATTCAGAAGTCGGTTATGGCTGAGAAAAATAACCCATTGTAAAAACCTATTTTCTTCAGAAACCACATCAGTATTACCTAGGTGGGAAATACTTGGTCATATTCGTCATATATTAGCATACTTTTTTTTTTAAGCGTTTCACCCCAAGCAAGGCGGGAAGCCACTAGGACGCAAAGGGTCGATTGACATTACATTTGAATAGCTGGAGATTATAGCTCTCAGGGAAACTAGAATAGGGAAGGTAGTTCCACAGGCGAGATGTGCGAGACATGAAGCTATTGGAGTAGAAGAGACGGCTACATTTAGGAGTTTCGACAGTGAAGGGTTGAGAGCGGGATACCAGCCTCGTCGGGCGCTTGAACTCATGAAGTCTGGGAACCAGCGAATGCAGATCCTCGGAGCAATTGCCATGAAAGTATTTGTAAAACAGACAGAGAGAGGCGACGGCGCGTCTGTGAGAAAGTGTCTGTAGACGAGATGCCAGATCAGGGCCAATTATATTGCATATCCGCCTCTGGAGCCTATCAAGAACCCCGAGGTAAACAGAAGGGGCTCCAGACCATATATGGCAGCAATACTCCATGCAAGGGCGAATTATTGATTTGTAGATCTGGAGGATCGATTCCGGGGAGAAAAATTTCCTGGCGCGGCACAGGGAGCCAACTTTCCTTGCGGTGGACGAAGCAATTGACTCAATGTATTTGTTCCATCTCAGGTCAGCCGTCAACGTGAGACCGAGCAGCCGCAATGAGGTGCTCTCGAGCAGTTGAGCGTCAGACATTCTAATGGAGGGCAGGGAAGGATCTCTGTGGTGATCAATAGAGAGCAGTTTTGTTTTTGAAGCATTAAAGTTGACCAGCCAATGCCGGCCCCAGTTCACATATACAGGAACGCGCGTAACGATGAAATCTGACAAGTATTTTTTCTATGAATTTATTGTTTTAAATTTTATCATTTGTTAAAAAAAAATAGCGTATTATGGCCGTAAACCCACCATAATTTAGGGATACAATTTCTTTCGCGAAAATAGAAGGAAGAATGAACATAGAAGTGACTAAAAATGCCTTCCTTACCCAAGGAGATTGCTATATAATGTTGCGATGGTTCGTTTCTATAAATATTTCATTCAGAATTCCTGCATATTCTTTTCTTCACAAAGCTGTGTGATTAAATTGCGACAAGTGTTGAGGTAGAAATAAAAAGGCTCGTGTCAGGCAGTGAACTTACTTCATCTGAGAACGTCAGATAACATCAAGTAATGTATTCTACTATTCATCCACAAAGCGAGAGGTCGACTTATATCGGTACAGATATATATTTAACAAATTTTCTCTCATCAGACCAACGGTAAATATCGACCTGGGGTGTTGAGTACTGAAAGAGGCAGTTTCAGTGTCTCACGGACTATGTTAACATGTGTTCTCTAGTTGTTGACAGGTAGCCTAGTAGAAAATCCAGTTTAAAACTGAACTTTCAGAGAAATTACGAAGTCAAAAACGGGGTTAAAATATGTAGGAGAAATATCATAAAAATGATCAAAAATGGAAGACGGAATTTGAAGGTAGGAATAAAAACATATGTCTATACAGTCGTAGAAATAGGTTGACATAGATAGTGTGGGATAGATAGATAGATAGATAGATAATATTAGAATTGAATGTGGTAAATAGATAGATAAGGAACATATATGATAAGAATTGACTGTAATAGATAGATAGATAGATAGATAGATAGATAGATAGATAGATAGATAGATAGATAATATTAGAATTGAATGTGGTAAATAGATAGATAAGGAACATATATAAGAATTTACTGTAATAGATAGATAGATAGATAGATAGATAGATAATATTAGAATTGAATGTGGTAAATAGATAGATAAGGATCATATATGATAAGAAATGACTGTAATAGATAGATAGATAGATAGATAGATAATATTAGAATTGAATGTGGTAAATAGATAGATAAGGAATATATATGATAAGAATTGACTGTAATAGATAGATAGATAGATAGATAGATAGATAGATAGATAGAAGAATTGTCTGTGATAGAATAATTGGCTGTGATAGGTAGATAGATAGATAGATAGATTGATAGAAGAATTGTCTGTGATAGAATAATTGGCTGTGATAGGTAGTTAGATAGTTAGAAAAATTGACTGAAATAGAAAAATTGATTATGATAGAAGAATTGACTGAAATAAATAGATAGAGAGAAAAATTGATTGTGATAGATAGATAGATAGATAGATAGATAGATAGATAGATAGATAGATAGATAGGTAGATAGATAGATAATATAAAACTTGAATGTGGTAAAATGATAGATAAGGAACATATATAATAAAAATTGACTGTAATAGATAAATAGATAGATAGATAGATAGATAGAAGAATTGTCTATGATAGATAGAAGAATTGACTGTGATAGATAGATAGATAGATAGATAGATAGATAGAAGAATAGAAAAATTGATTATGATAGAATTGGCCGAAATAAATAGATACAGAGAAAAATTGATTGTGATAGATAGATAGATAGTTTCGCATCTCTATTTTCCTTTGCTAGCGATAATATTGCGAAGTTTTTGTTTGTCGAGCAAAACTATGTGTATATTCTGATCAACATACATTTCCCAAATTTCCCGCGGAAATCATTTTCGTAGATTTGAAAATTTTACCTCGGGCTTGATAAGATTTTTTTTAAAATTATCACTGATCGTACAAGGTATAAATCGTGGAATAAACTTCTAATATGGCATACTGCAGAATCGCCCTAATCATCATATAGATAAACAATAGACACAATCCAAAACACCTTCAAACAAGAAACAGGCCTATGGCAAGACTTCCTATCCACCGACAAGAAAAAGAAATTTCAAATTCTATGGGTTCGCCATAAGAGCCACTGCCATCCTAAAAGTTATCACCCTGTGCAAAAAAAAGAGGTTGCAAACAGAGGCAACTTGTTCGAAAATGTCACCCGAGATATATGGAGGAATTTTTTTTCTAAACCTTGGGATGAGGAATTATCATTATTAACACTATTTATATTTGGATATCGTCCTCATCTTTGTGGTTTTTATCATTAGGTTTCGGCCTTTTTGTCCTCTGGCCTTTCTCAGGTGTCTCTCGATTTGGATAAACTACAATAAATTCTGAATTGGACCCTTTATTTAATCCACCGGGATAGATCGTTCTCCTTCCACTGTTCATATCTAGGGATATCGTCTACTTTTTATTTTTATTTAGTGTTGTCCAGGTATTGCTCGTCCGATTCTACTGAGTGCAAGTAGGCACTGCCGGACCTAGGAATTGACTCATTGCAAGTGGGTAGCCAAATTCACAAACCGACGTTTTTATTCACTAGGCCATTTTTATTACACAGATCGATGTACACCGGGCGACACAACGACCGAAACATAGAGGTAACAACAACAAAGATGAAGACAATAGTCTAAATATAAATAGTGTAATGCCTGGGAGAATTTGTTCAGGTGTTCTGCTGCGCAGCAGCACTACGTCTAGAACCAGTCATCGGACATAATGATGATGATGATGATGATGATACAAGGATACTTCTATGATTCCTCTGTAGAATATGCTTCGTGGAATGTTGTTGCATTAGCCTTAAGAAAAGCAAGTCTTTTGAGAAAAGAGACAAGTAGTAGAGACGGAATAAAAGAAGATTTAAATACGCCAGGAAAAAAAAATGAACAAAAAAAGAAAACAAGAAGAGAAAAATTCACTTGAAGCGTAAGAATAAATATTAAAAGAAAAAGTATAAAAGGGAAAATGCGCGAATCACCTAATTATTCTCTTTTTGAACAAGCAACAAAATATAGAGCCATGTGCACGATAGAAAGAAATAATGAAATTATTAACAAATGCCATTAATTCCTGTAAATAGATGTTCCACTTCAGTTAACTGAATTATTTTCCGATTTTTGACGTGTTTTCATAGATTCTTTTATATGTCTTTGTTTAGATGGTACATTTTTCCTTTCTTCTTTATATTCATATAATTTGACGATGCTCTTTGCTTTTTCATTTTGTGTCTTTTTTATTTTGTTGTCATTTAATATATATATATATATATATATATATATATATATATATATATATATATATATAGTCATTGTCTCTGTTTTTCTATCTAGACTGCTTAACACCCACGTTACTCATTATTATAAGGCAGAAAGCGATAAATTGCATTAAAAACGAATGCATTTCAATAAAATTTTCCATTAACGTAAGTACGATTTAAAACTTGCTTTTTGCAATGCCAGTACTTCAGACAACTTGCCACTTTTGTGAGTTTGCTTTAAGAACAATCGTTATTCGGAGTTCAACCACTGTCATCCATCGACGATTCAACCGTCTTCATTGATGTCACGATCAATAGATTTGGGCCTATACACAGTCCGTCTTTCTTCATGTTGACACCACATTCACCATTCTTCTTTGGAGAGTACATAATCATCGATTGGATTTCTCTTAGGGATTTAAGGTTTCAGAAGAATTATATAAAATGTCGTTCCACAATTCTGTACCTTGCTCGCTCGTGGCTGAGAATATTAACAAGAAACAAAGACAAAATGACAAAAATTGACAAAATTGATCTAGTGAAGGTTTTCAGCAGAAGCTTGAGGAAGTCTTCCTGAAAATGCGTTAATGTTTCTCTAAATCATTGCTGCTGATCTTTACCTATCAGCTGGAAGATTGTATTTCGCTATGTTTCTCTGTCAGTGGTTAGTTTTGCTGAACTCTCTGTACTCAATGGAACGGGAAATAAAGGTACTTACTATTAAGTTCTTGTAAATCAACAACGCATTGCTTCCGGATTGTTTACTGTTAGTCCGATATTTGTTTTTGGAAAGAAGGCGAATACAGAAAGGAAAGTAATAAAAATTTTAGATAAGGTCGAAAAGGATAGCAGGAAAAAAGAACTACTTGTCAATTGTGAGAAAACAGAATATACGATTATAAGTCATACGAACAACTCCGATATACGAGAAACATATGTTAAACGTCAGAATGGGAAAGAAACAAATGGATTGATCTCACTGTCATTGAAACGTTATAATAGACGATGGAAATTGTTGCCCTGAAAAAAAAGAGGCTCATGGGAATAAATAAAGATGAATCCCAAAAACTTAATTTTGATGGAACCAGAGAAAAGAATGCTGACATGCAATGTTATCTTAATCTGCACTATAGCAATACGGCATTTAATTCTGAATATTGGCCTCATATATAAAGAAGAGAAACGGGTAAAAAGCACCAATGTATTATTATTATTTAAGCATACACACAAACACACATTTCTATTCGTATTTTGACCTAATTAAGTCTACAAACGCGTAATCATATCTAGTTTCAATGATGCTTTCTTTTCCATTTGTCATATTTAAAATAAAAACAGTCGGGATTCTATAACCTATTTTACGCAGACACACGCGCACACTAATATATATATATATATATATATATATATATAAAAAAAATAAAGTGCCGCAAACGTTTTTTTCTGTTGTAATGTGGATTTATTGAGAAAAAATTAATGTTTGTTTTAGAATTTCACGACACGTGTTTCTCGTCTGGAAAATTAATTATCTTCAGGTGAAAGTGGAAAAATTTACATATTATTAAAAATAAGACGGTTTTCTTCATGTTCAATGAGAAAATTCACGTATGAAATTATTCTAAACAAAGTATAATGTCTTTCTCGAGAATATTCCACATTGAACATGAAAAAAAATTGCGGCACCCCCTTTTTTTTAATATACATACTTTTCTCTCGTTGGAACCACTACAACATATTTCCTTTATATATTTATATATATATATATATATATATATATATATATATATATATATATATATATAGAGAGAGAGAGAGAGAGATAGATAGAGAGAGAGAAATACACACACAACGAGGTTGCGATGGGTAAATTGTCGCCCTTTCATTTTTTTAAAAATTTATTTCGCGCATGCGCGTTGTTTGTTTTTGATTCTGTCGACCATATAGCATAACGGTCAGTTTATGAGAAAAAGAGCACCATGATGTAATTCACTCCGCCGGAAATTTGTAAACGGCATGCTTTACTGCTTGGCATTTGAGCCGGAGGCATTTCAGTGTGTTTATGCGTCAGTCTGAGGACAGTGCAGAGGATTCGGAAATAGTTGGACGTGTTTAATGCTGTTTTCGATAGTACGGCACCTCGGAAAATTCACTCCGATCGAATTTGTTGATGAACTTCTCAGACTCAACAGAGAGGACTACATCAAGGGGCCTGAGGTGGTAGTGCTGCCCTGGGTCAAGCAGGTAGCTTCTGGAAGACAACAGGAATCTGCACTATAGCAAACAAGCAGGAGAACCCAGTCCTGCAAGTCATGCAATAACTGTGACCACGTCACTCCTTACATCTGGCCTCCTAATTCCATAGACCTCAAGACTCTTGATTATTATTTGTGTGAGGCAGTTAAGCGAGAGACCAACAAAACTACTTGTAACACCAAAGAAGGCAAGGATTATGGCAGCATTCACTAAATTAAAGAAGGGAAACCGTCTGGAAGAGTTGCAGAAGATTCCGATATAGTCTGAAGGTCATGGTTGAAGCCAGTAGTGATTTTATTGAATAACTTTACTCATTATGTTTCAATATATTATTGTGCAACGTTGATATATATATATCTGTAAAAATTAGATGTTTGCGTAATTTAGACGACATTTTATCCATCTCAGTATATATATATATATATATATATATATATATATATATATTATTTAGTTTATGAAAAACTAGGTAATCCGTATGGGTAAACCCAAGGAGGATAAAATCCAGTGAGCTCAATGTAAATCCAGAGCAAATAATTTAAATAAAAACAGACCATTTTAAGGTTCCATGTAATAAATTATTTCACCACAGCCCTTTTAAAGTTTGATGATCAGCAGTCCTTTAAAAGGTCTGTGGTGAAATAATTTATTACATGGAACCTTAAAGTGGTCTGTTTTTATTTAATATATATATATATATATATAGTTGTATATTTAGGCAGCAATCCTTACTTTATACATGTTTCATTAAAAACGACAGATTGAGCTTTTTATTTAATTTTTCTTGTGTTCTGACAAGAGCTTTCTTTTCTGGACAAAGGGTGTGTAAGAACTGTCCGAATGTTTTATATTTCCGAGCGCTTTCGGCTATACCTTTAGCCATTATCAAGGATGATTCGATTATCAGCTTAGTTGAGTGTGCGCGTTCTGTGTATGTATCAGTGTGTGATAGGGATGTTTTTAATTTCCGAATACGGTTAGCACATTGTGGCTTTGTTCGTAGTTAATATTGTTAAGAGTTGGCTTTTTCTTTTTTATTGTTAGAGCTTCCATTATTTTTAGTCTTTTTTTGCAAGTGGATGCAAAATTATATGTGTTTTCTACTAGTATGTTCCTAATGGTGTCGGGTAAATCTGGGTGTGTGTGTTTAAATATATATATATATATATATATATATATATATATATATATATATATATATATATATATATATACAAAAAGATAGTGTAAAACCAGAAAATCTGTGTCACTGGAAGCCTGAAAGAAAGGACATTTACGATCAATATTTTTTAAAATTAAATTCTCAGAGAAAGACAATTAATACGTTTAATTGACAAATTTCACATTTGTATTAGTCACATATATTATGGGGGAGAATGTCATTTTTCTACATATATATATATTTTTTTTTTTTGAGTGTAATGTAAATAATTTAGTAGACTTGAATATGAAATTAAAATAAAGATGAGAATTCTGTTTAGATTCAGCTGAAACTGAAATATGAGATTAATTAATTTTACCTGAATACAGAGATCCTTATATTCAGCAGAATTGTCAGTCCCTCCACAAATAAACATTTTCAATGTTCATATATATATGTGTGTGTGTGTGTGTGTGTGTTTGTGTGTGTGTGTGTGTGTGTGTGTGTGTGTGTGTGGTAGCAATGCATGTGGTTGAGTCATAAATGTAAAATCAGAATCAAGAATCGAACAAGTTATTTCGATCAGTGACTTTATCCAAGAATATAAGAAAAAAAAAGCTGGTGGCGGCTTCGAAATGAAAGAATTTTCCTTGCCGTGCGCGTCTGATATTCTGCAGAGGAATGTCAATTTCCTATTGTCACCAAACGTGTTCAAAACGCTCTAAGGTGTCATTGCAGGGAGGGCGGGGTGTAAAGAGTTCATCGACAAAAGAAGCAAGTTCTTTTTCGAAATATGAATGAATAAATAAGTGGGAAATCTAAAAATCATTCAAAGAAAGAAAGAAAAAAGAAAGAAAGAAAGAAAGAAAGAAAGAAAGAAAGAAAGAAAGAATTAGGAAGATAAGAATATTACGCATGGAAGAAAGAATTTCTCAAATACAACGTAAAAATGTTTGAGAATAAGAAAGAAAGAAAGAAAGAAAGAAAGAGTGACATCAAACGTCAAATTCAAATAAGATTTAAAGTCGTCAAGAAACCTCATTGAAGAAAGAAAGAAAGAAACAAACAAACACACAAAAAGAAATATAGAATAAGAAGAAACATCATGCGAGAAAGAAAGAAAAGAACAAAGAATAAAATAAGGAAGAAAGAAAGAAAGAAAGGTAGAAAAAAAGAAAAAAAGAAAGAAAAGAAAGAAAGAAAGAAAGAAAATTTGAGAGAAAACTACAAAAGTGATAAAAATAATGATAGCTCGGGAAGAAACCCCATTTTTGAAAGAAAGAATGACTCAAAGGAAGGATGATAGCAAACATCAAAGTCGGAAAAAAAACCTCATTGAAGAAAAAAGAAGCCAACAAAAAACAAACGAGCAAAAAGAAAAATTTCATAGAAGGAAGGAAGGAAGGAAGGAAGGAAGGAAGGAAGGAAGGAAGGAAGGAAGGAAGGATTGATAGCAAACATCAAATAGGAATAATGATAGATAGCTCGGGAAGAAAAGTATTCCTGAAAGAATCAGTTTTAATAAAGAAAGAAAGAAAAAAGAAAGAAAGAAAGAAAGGTTGAATGAATGAATAAAAAAAGGCGACAACTGAAAAGAAGTTGCTGCGAAGATAAGAAAAAAAGTTCAAACAAAAATAACCCCCCAAAAAAGAAAGAGAATCAGAAAAAAAAAAGATTTTAGATGTAGAATAAATGCATACAAACCCAACACGAAAAAAACAAAATACTGATAATATGAAAAAGAGTGTAAATGAATAAGAAAGAAAGAAAGAAAGAAAGAAAGAAAGAAAAAGAGGAAGAAAGAAAGAAATTCAAAGAATGAAAAAAAATCAAAGAAAAGGAGATGAATTCCAATATTACAAGATAAAAGTAAACAAAAAATCAATATTGGCACAAAACTATAAAATAAGACAAGTAACAAAGAACGCAAGAAGAAATTGTCTGTAATAAAACGACACGAGCAGAAAGAAAGAGAAAAGAGTCTGAGAGAAAAACCGAAGATCTACTCAGCAGGAAGACACGATAACGCTGTCTTCATAAAAGACGTACATCTTATATCAGGAAAGATTTCTAAGTTCCGTAATTCTTTAAAGTCGTCTTGAACTTCAACTTGGAACACCAGAATCTTCCGCAACGTCTCAGAAGTTCCCTTTCGACTCTCAAAGGTCAATGTCGGAAGCCCCGCTGTCTCCGAGTGATGTAACTTTTTCCGACGGGAGCAAGGCATATTGTCTTCATTGGCTTTTGATGAAAAGTGTTATGTAACATTGGTTGCCTGCTGTCATCTCGAGGCTTCGCGAATGATGGCTGAAATAACAATACTGCTCCTGCAACACACGCAGTTCGGTACCAGCAAAAGAGGAAGAATTCAGAATGTGAGAGTTGATTCATTCAGTCTCTTCCTTTTTTCCTTCCTATCTATCTATCTATCTATCTATCTATCTATCTATCTATCTATCTATCACATGTTCATTATGTATCTATCTATCTATCTTTCTATCACGACCTTTTCAATATCTATCACGAACTTTTCAATATCTATCTATCTATCTATCACGACCTTTTCAATATCTATCTATCTATCTATCTATCACGACCTTTTCAATATCTATCTATCTATCTATCTATCTATCTATCTATCTATCTATCTATCTATCTATCTATCTCTCAAGACCTGTTCATTATCTATCTGTCCATCTATCTGTGTGTGTATGTGTGTATGTATTAAGAATAAATATAGTTTTGTTCCTTCTCGTTCGATGCAACTTTATACGCTGCAATTATCAGGTATAAGTTATTACTAACAGAACTCTCGCGACACACATAGTTCGGTACCAGCAAAAGAGAAAGAATTCAGAATAAGAGAGTTGTTTCATTCAGTCTATTCCTTCTATCTATCTATCTATCTATCTATCTATCTATCTATCTATCTATAACCAGTGGCCGTGACCATGCAGAGAAAGAAATGAAATGTTATCAGAATGTTTCCTGATTGAATGTACATAAATAAAATTGCTCCCCGGATTTTTTTTCCCAATATCTCAATTATTGAAAGAATTACTACATTCCCAAGCCAACATACATGACTATAAAAATCTTAAAAATTAAAAGAAAACTTTTAAATTCCTAAGCTTTTGTTATTTAATGTATATAATATTTAAATTAATGCCAAACCAAAATAATTTAATTCCTAATTTGTATTAATAAAAATGAACACGCTATCACCCCTGTCTAAATAATTAGATTTCTCTGTATCCTTGGAAACAAAAAATTATGAATTCTATGTGCATTTAAAACTCAGTAAATTTAAAAATAAGTGATTCCAAACTTCGCTTGAAGATGAAACATAACTAATGCTTTTAATTTAATTATATAATTAAATTTGAAGTGTTTAGTTTCGGTTTTTGAGACATGGTAATTCCTGTGTAGCGAAGAAACCATATTTGAAATCATTTATTTTATAATGCTTATGCTCTGTAAATTTACATTGAGCACTGATTTGTAAAAATAAAAATATCAATAAAGAACACCGGATTATATATCTGACTGTTCTTTCTTTTTTTTATAATATATATATATATATATATATATATATATATATATATATATGTGTGTGTGTGTGTGTGTGTGTGTGTGTGTGTGTGTGTGTGTGTGTGTGTGTGAATTTATTCTTCCTTCCGTTCCTTCTTTGTTCTTTCCATCTGGCTTTCAGTATAGGTAGTTTGTTTCGCAGGAGACTTTGAAGTATTCGTCTCCTATTCGTTTCCAAGGAAAGTACATTCATTCAAGAAACATTCTGTCACCATTTGATTTCCTTCCCTGCATAGACACGACCAATGGTTAGATATTTCCGCTAGCAAAAGTCATGGTACACAAAATGTTTTTTTTTTTTCAAAGTGTTAAATTAAGAGAAAAAAAGCATTTGCTTCACACCCATTTTACTGTCAGACGTGATTTGGGCAGACTGTCGCTCTGCTGTTACCTGTAACTGCACAAAAAATGCGTTACTGGCGAGTTTTCAATCCTTCAACCTTTTTAGTAAACACTGATGATGCCGAGTTTAAAATTAAAGTCTTCTCACTCTGAAGTAAATATTAATTTAGTAGTTTATTACAAAAGAAGTCAGTTCATTCTTTGCTGGATGCTCAATGTGCGCGGCTTTTTCGCGTAGTAAATGAAACATTCAACGAAAGTCTATATTTCTGAGATGATGTGTCGTAACTATTTACATTGTTCAGACTGTTATCCTCATCTTTATTGTCATATTCACGACGTGTCGGCCCTTATATGCTCCGACCTTCTTCAGGTGATATACGTTGGAATTTCTAACCGAAACCTCTATTTTCTTCCACTGGGCTAGATTGTTCAAGAACTAGCGTCCACAGCGGTCGAAACGTCGTCGATAGGGCAATAAAGATGACAACAACAGTCTGAACAATAGGTCAAATTAAATGATTGCTGTTTTAATTTTTTTCTTTTTGACGTTCACGTTATAGTCTTTCTTTTTTTCACTATTTCTTTATTTTTCTTTCATTTGAATTTGTTCTGGACAGGCACACTTCGTTTGTAAGACGTTTCCCTCTCGATTATTGTCGCTTCCATTCAATATTTTTTCGTATATATTTTTACTAATCATTTCACCTCAAGTCAGGCAACAAAGGCTATTAAGATGCATTGTGAAAAAAACTATGAAAGAACATGAGAAAAAACATATTATAAAGGAGAAACAACAATAAAAGAATAGAAATAAAGAAGACAGTAGATATCTATTGACATTGCATTTGAATTTTTGAAGATCAAACTTAACTGGAAAGCAAGAGGACAGGAGAGAATTCCACAAGTGAACAGCGCTAGAAAACAAATTGTTAGCATTGAACATACGGTTTTATATAGACACTTGATTACTAAAAATAATGAGACCTTGCCGCCAATCGAGTACTGCGCTTATTCATAAAATACATGTACAAAAGAGGAAAGTTCATCCGAACAATTACCATTAAAATATTTATAGAAAAAGCACAGGGAATTACATTACGGTGGTGAGAAAGTGACTGAAGCCGAGATGCCAGATCAGGACCAATAACAGTGCAGATTCTTCGTTGGATTTTATGAAGCATATTTAAATAGAAAGCAGGAGCGTGACACCAGATGTAGCCGCAATATTCAAAGACGAATGGTAAACCTATAAATATATGATAGATTCGGGCGAGAAAAAAAAAATTATAGTACGGTGAGCCAACATTCCTTAACAGCAAACCAAGCATTTCATTCAGTATAAACTTCCTACTTCATGTCCGCGGAAAACGTTCGTCCGAGAAGGCGAAATGTGTCACAACCCCTGGGGGTTAGCATCAGTCATGCTGATGCAAAGCAGAAAGATTTCTCTCAGTCGATTAATAGAGAGCAGTTTCATTTTGGAGGAGTTAAAATTAGCAAAACATTCCCTGATTAAATTACCAATAGAATGTAGGTCATTTTTATTACGTTATCACAGTATTTGCACAATTCACACCTCTCTCTTTCACACCTCCTCTTATTCTTACACTCTTGATCTTTTAGAATTCTACTCTCTTTGAAACCTTTACTCTTTCATATCTCCCCTTTTAAGCTCTTATCCCTGTCCATCTTTGTTTTTTGACTCCCTCACTTTTGATTTTAATCTCTTTTTTTCCCTCTTTTTTCTCTCTCTTGGACTCTTTTACTCTTAATTTTCTTTTCTTCGTTTACTCTTTGATCTCCTTCACCCTTTACACTTTTAATCTGTCTGTCTTTTTTTTACTCTTTCTCTCATATTGTCTACCTATTACTACATTGCTTTTACCCCCCCTCTCTCTGTCTTTTATACTCTCACGTTTACGCGTGTACTATGGTTGTTTTACTCTTTATCGACCCTTTTCTCTTTCGGTCTCTCTGGTTAACCCTTTTGTGTTCTCCCTATCATGAAAATTAAAAACAAAACAATCCTGTTCGATATTTCAACATGTGTACTGCGCAACTCTGTAAAATCTTATGACTATTTCAATAATGTCCAGTGATTTATGTGTGTTTGTGTGTGTGTGTGTCCATAAGCGTCTCCGTGATGAAAGTATTTTCTAGCATACAACCAGTTTTCCACAGAGGAAATATTACAAGCATTTCGTTACTCTATCGTTATGTCCATGACAATGGCTTTGACGAACAACATTATTTATAGGTCAGACATTTAAACGAATGATTGTTTCCGGTGTAGTTCTAAGTATTTTGATATTGATTAGATTGGATATGATCTGAAGCAAAAATACCCACAACAATAATTTTGAAGCAGGTATATATAAAATAAATTGCTAGAACTGTTCCTCACAATAGATTCAGAAATTTACAGAATTTATAAAAAACGGATCTATTAGGTTGGTGCAAAATAATGACGTATTAATGTCGTTTTTGGACATTAAAAATACGTCAAAAACGACATTATTACGTCATTATTTTTGCACCAACCTAATATAAATATAAAAGGGATCTTATACACAAGAATCTATCAAATGCATTAGTTATACATAGAAATAAATTCAAGCATAACATTGATCTAAAGACTGACATACTTATGAAAAGAGAAATTATATTTTTTTAGAAGGAAAATTCTCGAGAGTGCCGCGATAGGATCTTACAAAAATATAAATTTGCTCCCCAGATCTTTTCCATTATCTCAATTATTGAAAGAATTTCTACACTCCCAATCCAACATACATGACTATAACAATGTTAAAAATTAAAAGAAAACTGTTTAATTTATAAACTCTTGTTATTTAATGTATATAATATTTAAATTAATGCCAAACCAAAATAATTTAATTACTAATTTGCATTAAAAAAAAAAAATTAAAAATGTAATGCCCTTTCGTTTATTAGAAATTGAATTGTGTGTCATGACGTTCTCCACGGCTTGCCTGACTTTTCGATCAACTTGATGGATATTGATGAGCATTTCTCAATTCATAAACTTTCAGAAGTTTCCTTTTTTACAGAAATATACGTTCATAGAGAGGCTATGAACATTATTGATACTATTAAATTGAGATTGAAAGTGGGCTGTAACAATGATTTTTTTCTGTTGGACCATTGCCCTGATGTAACAAGATTCCTTCATATTCAGCCTCCGTACCTTTTAGCCCACCTGTTCTCATTTATTCTCATACATTTATCATGTATCCTCATATATATATATATATATCGTAATGAAGTAAAAACTAAAAATTGTTTAAATTCGTATGTGTTAAAAAGTGCTCAATATCAAGTTAGAAAAATCTAACCTGTAGACCGATTTCTTTGAGTCACCCACCTGATGAGACCTTGACGATTGATACCGTGGTAGTGTTCGATTCACCCTTCTTATATATATATATATATATATATATATATATATATATATATATATATATATAAATGATAGGATAAACGCGTGGGATGATGTTCCAGGAAAGTTTATATTTTTCAGAAAATGATAAAATTTACAGTGAATATTGGAATGGGCATGAACCGACTGGAGGCTTCTTGGGGAAGGAATGATGTTAGAACCGTTTAAACATTGCATCTTTATGGACAAGATGCTGTTCAATATGGCAACTGGTCTATCCAAGAAAGAAGCGGCAACCTACTGCGTGAAAAAATCTGCCTCGTCAGTCATGTATCGAAAGATACATGATCGCCTAGGCGTGTATCCGGCATGGCAAGTAACCGACTGCTATTCAATATTCCCTCCGTAAATGTCCATCACACTATGGTCTCAGGGTTTGAGTCAGTGTGTTAGGGGAAAATATAACCAAGATGGCATTACTTCTAGTGTCAGAACATTTTACATAACCGATTATCACTTGAATTAAAGCAGAACCTGCACTCAACATTCGAACCCTAAGATGAGCCTCTTCCTATCTCCCTGGTCACGTGAACGATGCCGATATATATTAAGTGAAATTTTGCCTGGAGACTCGCGTGTTGTAGTCCTGCTGTATGTAAATGAAGCCCAACGAACCATGTTAACACCTTTGTAGTTGTTCTTGTCCGTGCTGTAGATCCCGTGTGGTTTGAAAGAGATCTGCTTGTAACGCGTAGATGATTGCCGCCCAGAAGATCTATGAATGGACTAATCTTCATTTGACAGATATTGACGTCATTGAAGAGAGGCTGAGTTGAGGTTTTTGCAAGAATTGGCGGTAGCCAATCCTCTCGAGCATCTACAATCGGAACCAACTCAAACGGCTCTAATCGTACAAAAAGGAGCGTATATGCGTCAACATGTCATGATACGAGCGAGCAAGACAATCGTTTAGTACGCAAAACCTTATCACGTCTAAAGTTAAAGCTCAGGCAATGCAATATTAGCAGACTCAATATATATTTTTCAGCATGTTTATTCTTAAAGGAGTTGCAATTTTACATATCTTCATATATATATATATATATATATATATATATATATATATATATATATATATATATATATATATAGACATTTTATGTTTAGCATTTCTTTTATATAGATACAAATATTTAAGTAAATGCTTTGTTTATAATAAACAGTATTAAGCAACATTTACCGGCTTGAATGTCCGAGAAATTTTCACAGAAAATATTCGTCCTCCGACAGGATTCAGACCTGTATCCTATACGGAACTCTCGTTTAGCTTGACGTGCCTTTACCGATTTGGCCACAGAGGAGCGTTCGGTTAGAAAGGTCGAATTTACTGTATTTAAAATTCAATCTTCCGTGAATCTCTCACGTACATTCATATCTGCTCATGGCATAACAAATGTAAACAAATGACGTCACACATTATGAAATGGACAAAGTCCGACAATTATTTTAAGACATTTTTATATTTAACATTCTTTTTATACACACAAATATTTAAGTAAATGCTCTGTTTATAATGAACCGTATTAAACTACATTTACCGGCCTGAATGTCCGAGAAATTTTCACAGAAAATATTCGTCCTCCGAAGGTATTCGAAATTACTGTTTTATATATATATATATATATATATATATATATATATATATATATAAAACAGTAATTTAATCTTATGGTAGGCGGAAGAGTCCATCATAGACTCTTTAGAGGGAGGACACCAGAACAAAAAGCATTGTTGGAACCAAGTGAGAACTTGCTAAAAGACTTAACGCCCTTATGAAGAAAAAATCTCGACCAGTATAAAGCGAAAAAGAAAGAAAAAAACTCAAGGAAATCACTAACTTAAATAAATAAAATAATGTATTCAACTCCCAAATTAGGTCGAGCGACTAAATAATAAGAAGCGTCTTTCAGAAAGTAATGATTAATTCAATCCTTTAGAATTATTTAGTAAATTAATATGTAACAGTTAAATAAAGATAATTGATATAAGATGCTAATAATAACAACCGTTCAATATAAGATGTCAGAAATACAAACTAACTGCTAATACATCCATATATGATGTTAATGATACTAACAGGAGATTAATATAAAACTATATGCAATCCAAATAATTCTTATAAATAGTAAAATAAGCGCTATATGGTTCAACGCGGTTCACCAAAAATATAAGAAAAACAGTTATTAACTTCCAAATTTGAACTAAATTGTAATGTAAAACGTAGACTATGTCTACAATTTAATGTTAATTCGCTTCTTTGATTTAATTATGAGTTCTTATCATAAAATCTGATAATTTTCAATTTTTTCATGTAAACCCAGGAAACGTGGTTTATATAAAGATATACAAGTTCTTGCCATTTTTAACATTTCTATTTCACCTTAGGAGATTTATTATCAAATTTTAAACTCCCAAAATATTTAGATATTAAACATTACACGAGTTGGACGAATTTGTTGTTATATATATATATAAACCGGTTGCTTCCCCCCTTGTTGTTGAGTTTTTTGGGGTTTTTTTTTATTATTTAATATTGTTTTAATATGTTTTATACTTTTATTTCGATCAATATTAAATTTTATACTTTTATTTTACATTGATCATATATATATATATATATATATATATATATATATATATATATACATTGAATGTGACAAGGAAGTTTTTTTTTTCTAATCAGCTTTTCTAATGTTCATACAGTTTTCCTATTTTATGTATAATGAGTGCGTAGATTTCTCCTTAGTAATTATTGTCTAAAACTTTTTCAGCTAATTCGATAGATTTTTAAGAGATTCGTTGTTAGTATCTTTTCTACATATTTATGTTCTAAGTTGAATTGTGTGGAAGTAGTTGTGCTAGAAGAATAACATGTAATCCTATGTTCGGAGAGTCTTTAAAAGACAGTGAACACGTTATTTGCCTTATCAAAAGGAGAGAACGATTTAAACCAAGTCTCAATTTGATTTTTTAAACAAAATGTATGAAAACCTTTCCTTGTTTGTCGTATTTAATGAAACATGTATTAAAGAAGGTTACTGAGCGCGCGCACACGTGTGTGTCTGTGTGTGTGTGCGTTCCCAAACCTTTCAACGTTTCTCACGCATCGTTTCATCATTCGCTTTTTGCAACATTGTTGTCTTTCGTTTTATCTTCCCCTCTTTCATTTCCAATTTCTGATTTGACAAAACCTTTCCACGGAACCCTGCCAGGCACCAACTTTCGACTCAGCTTCAGTTCGTGATATCTTCGAAGGTGAGCCTTTCTCACTGAAGACATCAAAGAAATTCATCAGCGAATCCTATTGGCTCTCCTATATATATATATATATATATATATATATATATATATATACACACACACACACACACACATATATATATATATATATATATATATATATATATATATATATATATATATATAGATAGAGAAAGAGAGAGAAACTTGAATATTTCTGTCTTTTTTTCAATGTCTCTTATCCTATTCCCTTTTTATATCTCTATGTACATTTAGGTTT